AAGAAAAGGTGATTAGTGTCGTATGGAGGAAGCCAATGTTAAATCAAGAAAATATCAAGCCAAGAATCAAGCCCAGCCGTTGATTAAAATCCAAGGGTCAAGAATGCTCCCAATAAACACACAATCTGGGTCATCTTAGGATTACCAATAAGTGAGTGCCACGAGGGTGACACAAATGTGGGTAAAGGAACCGGCCTAACAAGTTAGGAGAACCACAACAAGAGGCCCAATAAACTTACAAATACTAATATGTGGAGAGGGATCGAAGGGGAAATGATACTTACATTTGACAAGTCGCCATGACTTAGACCGGAAGAGGAGGGCAATCGCAAATAAAAAAAAAAATTTACGCGTGAGAGAAGAAAGGTTTGAAAATATACGTGTGAGAGAAGAGGGTTGTTTTGATAATTCATTAGTATGTCTACATAGAGTCAATGATGGGGGACGGGAGAAAGAGAAATGTATATATAAAAAGTATGGAAACACCGACGTGTTAAATACGAACGATAAATATATTTGCTAAATATTGAGAATAATTTTTTGAACGATTTTGACCATAATATAATTCAATTATTTCAATAACACTTTATTTTTTATTTTTCAATATGTATTTAATTTACAAATTGTAATAAATACTACAATTAATTATCAATTAGTCAATATTCACATTCATTTAATTAATATTAATTAGAATTTTCGTTGACATCCACGTCCACGTCCACGTCCACACAGCCTTGTTATTAACAATTAATTTACATTCATATATATATAGAAGACACACACACACACACACACACAAGTCAATCTGTTCTAGTAATGCAAATCACGCGTAGTAAAAAGGCTAAATAAAATGCAAAATATAGTTCGTCCAACTACGACTAACCAAACCAACTAAAACAAAAATCATCATATTATGGACTACGTGTTTCCTTCACGGGAGATGAAGCAGCAAAAGCTACAATGTACATCAACAAGTAAAGATAAACATTTGACAAAAGCATCGCATTTGGTGTGTATGAAATTAGATTTGAGGATTTAAACTACCTCTAGAAGGTCATACGCACGAGTCCAATCTTGTGAGGTTCGAGAAATCACTTTTATTCATCATCTCATACCGTTATTCCTTTTGTATGTTCTACTCAAAATGTACTATACCAAAATGTGCTAATTTCCTCTTTGACGTAGCAGTCACAACTTCTACCTCGCCATTTCTAATTACCATCCATAAATCGATGAACCCAGACTCTGTTCTCACCCTTGTAGTTTAAAAGTGGCAAATCAAGACCATGTTTGAGCATTTTTAATAATAATTTGATGAAAAATATATGGTTAAAAAATAAAAAAAATGGATTTGCGTATAATATTACTTTATTGAAAAATGAATGGTTAAAAATGAGTTTTTAAAAAATGAATTTTTGTAAGAATGTGGATCAAACGGGGTGCAACTTGTCTTGGAGATGAGTTCTTCCCAACATAATACACAAGATGACCTTTCTACCTCTTCCATATCCCACACTTCTACCGCTGAGAATAATCACTTATCGAGGATACTTTTTTCTTGGTCGCTGAGTATGGTTAAAACGATCTGATTGTCATAACCAAATGCAAGAAAAAGATTTTAATTGATCTCTCGTCAACTACCCATCACCTCAAACCTTTTTGAAGATGTTCACGTCCCTTTGATATACTTTTCCACGCCACAGAATCTCATTCCCTAGCAGAGGCAACCCAATACTCCAAGAGCGCTTATATTATCCGTTACACAAACAATCCTTGTTATGAACAAATCTTCATGCCTACTAAAGACAATTTGGTCCAAACCTTTAATTTATAGAAGTCGAAATTTTAAGACTTTCAAATATTTGATCCCAACGTATTTTTGTAACGAGAAATTTCAAACTGACTATATGTAAAATTTTAAGTAAAATGATCATCATACAATTAGTTTGATTTAAAATAAAAAATAAAGAAAAAAGAAACATAAAAGGGTAGGAAAATAAACTTTGTAGTTTTTTTTCAATGACACACAAAAGTTTTAATTAATAAATTTTGCCATTTTATTATTATTATTATTATTTATTTATTTATTTATTGTTTTAGATTTGATTTGAATCTATGTTTGAATTAATTGTTGGTGGTGGTGGTGGTGACGACGACGATATCGGACAGTTGCGACAACATGTTGGTGGATTTGGATTGGAGAATGAGTAGAGGTTGTGGATTGACCTCAAATTTTCTTTTTTCAATTTGTATTCTTTATTAAATTCAAATTATTTATATATTTTTTAAATCAAATGAGCATGACAAATGTTCAAACTCAAGAGGTTCAAATCTAATCATCAAAAGGTACAAATGTTATGACTCAAATGCAATTTAACCGAAATTTATAAAAACATATTTCAATGGCCATGGTGATACTAAATGAAAAGTTCGATAGTCGTAGTAAAACAAAACATATTTTGGTGGCCATGGTAATAATAAATGAAAAGTTCGATACTCATTGTGAAACAAATTAAAGTTTGATGATCATGGGTGATACTAAATTAAAAATTCAACGATCATAATGAGTTCATTTCACTCATGACCATAGAGCTTTTCAAGTTTCAACCATCAAACTTTAGGCTATGTTTGATTACACTTGTTTTCCATGGAATTTGGAATTTAAATTCCATTTCCGTGCAAAACAAGTGTTTGATTGAACAAATTTGGTCAAGAAAAATTTTTCCCACCCCCCACCCACGCGTCCTCTTTCATTCAAAATAGGGAAAAGACTTTCTCACTATTTTGGTGTGAAAGCCTTTTCCAGGTTCTACCATCATCTTTTTTTTTTNACCCCAATTCAATAATTTTGTGGAATTTGGGTTCCCACCAATTTGGTGGGAATTCATTTTCCATTTTTTTTGGCAATGACACCAAATTGTATAACCAATTGTAATTTTTTTTTCACTTTAATGGACAATTTACATGTAAAATAAAGTCAAATGAATAGAAATTTTTGATTAAAAAAATGATTTTTTAGGGAAAAAATTTCGTTTTTTTTTTAACTTTTTAGCAATGGAAACAAATTATATAACCAATTCTGAAAAAAATTATCATTTTAATGGACAATTTTCATGTAAAATAAAGACAAACGAACACAAAATTTTAAAAATTTTCGATGAAAAATTATACCAATCAAACACAATTTCATAAAAATAATTTCTAGACAATTATTTTTCCTTAAATTTATTTTCTTTCTATCCATTTTCCATATTTACAATCAAACGGACCGTTAATTTATTTAATTCCAATCAAGGGCACCTCATCCCCCGGTTTTTGGGCCAGTTTCCCACACTGTTTCACTAGCAGGGTTCTTTTGGAATACAAAAGCAGAAAAGTCCTTAATATAGAAAATATTCTCTATATTCTCTCAATTAAATTTATCATGTGAGTTGATTTGCTCTTTACATTTCTTCTCCTACGTTTATGAATATATATATATTTTTTGAATCTTTATATATTCTGTCGATTGTGTGGCGTAGAAAGGTTCGTTAGAGATTGATCGATCGTATCAATTTGGGCAATTACTTCTAAAGGAAAGGATTCTACTACGATTTTCAAGTGATAGCACCATGGGAAGGCTCTATGTGATCACTCTTGAAGGAAACTTGTATTCCTGCAAGTACTGCAAAACCCATTTAGCTCTATCTGATGATCTTATCTCAAAGGTCTCTCCTTTTTCCTCGTCGAATATATATTTATACTTGTATGTATATATGAATATGGGTACTTAGTTTTTATTTATTTATTTTTTCCTGGTGTTTTGCTTTTGGGTTGTATAATTTGGTTCACGATCTTTCAGTAAATGAAAAGCCTAAAATGATTAGAACACAGGCAACTTGAGCAATTCTTTCTGGCTGCTTTCTGTGGTACTATTTAGGAACTAATCTGGGTTCAAATTTATACTAATGAGTGAGATTATTGTTTCACGGCTAGAGGGTTTTATGTTACTTTAAGATCTATTACCTTTAATCAGCGAATTTTGAAGTTATGTCTCACGACATAGAATTTGGTGATAAATTGTCTTAATCTAAAGTCATAATTGTTACATAACTAGATGTTAGTAGTTAATTTACTTCATAAAAGGCTAAAGGTAAGAATGATTTCCTAACATTACCCATGGGATTCTAAATGAAGAGTTCATTATGAACATATAATGCTATGCTTATAGTGCTAAGCATAAAGTAGCACTTGCATGCCCATGCTGTTTTCTACAACCAGGTGTTACTTTGTAAGAAGCATCGAATATGACTTCTGCATACCTGTCATGCCAATATTACAGATCTTTTTACCTATCAAGAAACAGAAACAAGATATAAGCATCTTTCCAGTCACTGTACACTTAGGTACACGTGGTTAAGTAATGATTCCTCAGGGGACATGACCAATTGTTCACGACTTCTCTTCATTATTTACTGGTGACCATCCTTAACATAAATTGTTGTCCCCTGCTGATATCTTTAGAAACTATAAAGGGATGCTCTGTTTTGGGGTTTGCTATCTCTTCTGTTTATGGTAGTTACAAATTTTATTTTTACGGTCTTGTTTCAGTTTTCCTATCTATTTACAGTTTAGTTTTGTTCTTTTGACTGTTGGCATGGATTTATATGCATGATTTCTAATCTGGTTTGTTACCATGTTCCAGTTTTTCCAATGCAAGCATGGGAGAGCTTATCTCTTCAAGAAGGTGTAAGTGTTTTTTTGCTTTACATTCTTCTTCATGGTTAAGTTCCCATGTTTCAGTCTTTCCACTGCAAGCATGGGAGAGCTCATCTGTTCGATAAGGTGCAAGTGTTCTTTGCTTTTCATTCTTCATGGTTAAGTTCCTTGGACATACTATGACAAGAGGTC